GCAGACCGCTCCTCAAATCGTTACCCGCTATGAGAAGGATGTATTGAAACGAAAGCGCCAGATGGCTCAAGATTGATCTTCCCAGAGGACTGACGAAGATATAGAGGAGGGAATGCGAGGCTACGCCCGCTTAGGCCCTACGGGGCCCTATTTGCAGCAAGGTCGGCCGCCCTAAGTGAAGGCAGGCACGACAGGCCCTTCGGGCATCGTTTTTTTGGGTACCCCGCATTGGGGAAAATTCAGGCAGTTGCGCAGCGCCAGTTGGTTGAGTGAACCCAGGCCCTGGGCCGCCTGTGTGAATGTACGAAGTACAGGCCCTGGGCTGGATTCAGGTACCAGGCCGAAAACAGGCCGAAAGTAGTTGGGCGCATGCAACCACTTCAGGCCCAAGGCCTGCTTTCCTCATGACTGGGCCTCAGGCTACCGGGGCCTACTGGAAGCTTCCTGGACTGGACGCAGGCAGGCCACTTTGATATAAGGAAGGGCCTGCCTCGCATTTCGGCATTCGGGTGCTGGCTGCATGCTGCGCGAGCGCTGCTGCGCTATCCGCTGGCTGGCTGGCACTCACGCTCTCACGGGCGAGTAGGAGGGAGCACGCAGCCATAGCCAAGCTGCGCTGCTGTAAGCTAGGTGAAGCGCAGGGTGGTCCTTGGGTGCTAGTGGCATCTGTGAGGTGTGGATCGGGGTTGTGAGTGTTACGAGAGACATACCTGGTGCTGAAGCGGGCGACATTGGTCGCCATATGGTCGTACCTCGGGAACGCTGTTGATGTCATCATTCTGCTTCGTAGTATAGGCTAGATAGGACCTGCCACATGTAGTCTGGGCGCCGAGCGCCAATAGGATACCAACTCTGGTTCGTAGTTGATGATGATGGGACTACTTCAGCATTGTCAATTTTGAACTCTTGGTGTGTTCTTATTTGGTGTATCTCGTGATGCAAGTCTGCTGTGGTTCGAGGTCAAGACTATCTGGGCTCCTATGTATGATGTTGTTTGATTGCTGAAGTTCGCTAATGCTCATCTTCCTTGCAGTGTGCCCTAATCAATCAATCAATCAATCAATCAATCAGGGTTAATCAATCAATCAATCAATTAACCAGGGTCAATCGATCAATCAATCCTGACTTACCCAATCGATCTTGGGTTGTCCCGCGCTCGCGTCAGATCAGGTTCGTCCTGATTCACACGCGTGGCTCCGATACTAAAACTGACGCATGTCCAGTGGGACAATGCGCAGGGAGACAAGGATCCGCTATGTGATGAAAAGGACTGACATGGACAATGCAAGGTCAGCGTAGCATCAACAAGCAATGTACATTCCGAATACATACAAGATGGCACAAAGGGCGCAGTGGAAGACTTAAAGAGAAGATCTGATCTGATCTGGACTGACMCGACATCCGTCACACATCACACAGGTGAGAGAGGGAGGAGGGACCGCACACATGGAAGAAAGGTCCCTCCTGCGCACACAGGGATACCAYGGATGYGAGATGGGGGAGGGACGAGACGAGGAGGAASGAGGCGAGGGAGTAGACCAAGATCGCAGTAGCGAAGTCCAAAAAATAGTCCYTTGCCGAGTGTCCAATCAATGTCTGTCCCAGAAWTGTCGAATCAGATCCTGGGCGATGCGCCCAGCATAACCTCTGCCTGTGGCATACTGCATAGCCACACGGGCCCTGTCCCGGACATTCAGCCTAAAAGCCTAAAACTTAGGGCTTACAGGCCCCGGTCGTTTCAGCCTGAAAGCTGAAAAACGAGGGCCTGCAGGCCCTATTTCTGGGTCTTTCAGACCCAGAGTTTTACCAGCCTGAAACGGAGGGCCATTTTCAGGCCCTCATTGTTTCGACCTGCCCCTGAGACTCAGGCACGTAAACAGGGATGCGGAACAGGCCAGAAATAGCCTGTTCCTCACGAGCTCGAGCAGGAGCTGCAGGTGCAGCCCCTGCCTCCTTTCGGCATTGGCAAGAGCAGCCTCCTGAACTGCTCGCACGGCTCATGAGGCACACCCAAGGTAGTTTCGGTAGGCACTGGTAGTCTTCAGGATTCGGCCGCAGCACTCAGGAGGAGCGCTGCAGTAGTCTTCAGCGCTAGGCAGTAGTAGTAGCGCTAGCTGTAGTCTTCGGCGCTGGGCGCCCATAGCCATAGAGTAGTCTTCAGCGCTGGGCGCTGGTAGGAGGTAGATCGTAGAGTGGGAGAGATACTGGCGGAGGCCAGTGATACTTACCTGTGACGCCATCGCTCCAGCTCCATCTTCGTGGTACCTGCATCAAGGCGCCAACTTCACAGGTTAGTAC